AAATCAGCGTCCCAAATTGTCGCAATATAACGAGTTTGGTTTGCTTGCAGAAAAAAAATACGTAAATTTTGTATAAAAGTAACAATTTCCATAGTACTATTTAACAAAAGCCGCATTTTCCTAAGCAAACCTCAAACTTAGTAAACAAAATCAGCGTCTGCCAAAATATGTATTTTCTCACACTTAGATACCAGATTACAACGACAAAAATCCATATACGACAGATAAGATCTTTTTACAGGCAATTTGTTTCGCTCTCAGAAGGGATCAAAACACTCGTTTTTACGCTTTCCGCTATCTGATGGGAACCGACAATGTATCGGATTTCGATATGATATCACAGTTACACTTCTGAATAATGCATCAATAACAAACAAAACTTCCTAAGCGCACAGTTACTTGTATAATCTTTTCGAACTTTAAAGCATTTTAGGATACTTTCATTTTATGAAACGGAAATTCGAGCAATCAAAAAGAAGGATTGGATTTGCCACATCGTCGAAAATTCGCCCAATAACAAAGGATCTGCGGCCTGGTCGAAATATGAAACAAACCTAATACAATAGATTGGCAGCAATTACTGAGCATTCTATTAAAAATAACAGTATCATTACTTACCTGAGAGATAACTTAGAAAAAGTATATATTTTTAATAATCCAGTGAGATTAGCTACAAAAACCTATATTTTTCTCTTTATAGGTCTGTAACAAGTTTTTCAAACTAAATCATTGATTTTTGTCCTTGCTGTACTAAATTCTGCTTAATATACTCAGTAACAGTTCTTTAACTTGTTTTTTTGGCAACATAATGACTATATTTAAAGCAAGCTAGGGCAACAATGTCAACGTTTTATCTTTGTTTTTGTTTACCTTTGTTAAAATGTTATGTCTTAGTTTTTGTGAAGAAAGCACTTTTCGAGAGCCGAGTAGTACATATATTTTTAGTTATTGCCCTTTCATTTATAGTGTTAAGCATAACAAAGTGCCTCGACGTTATTTTTTCTTGTTACTTGTCAATGAAATTTCGTGAGAATGTTATCGTTTCATTCTTGATGTAACTACCTCATTGCGAAAAAATCAATTTGAAGAAAATGTTGTGATCCAGTCAAAACTAAATAAATTAATATAATACAAACATAATGTACCCAAAATAACAACAAAAACAAACAACTTAAAAAAAAATGTGAGTAAATAACAAATAAACAAAAAAAGGCGGACTAAAAGATTGAAAATAGTTTAAAAAATAAATTGCATTAATACAATTCACAACTCTGATGTAAAGTATGTATATATATATACTAAGTGACACATAAATCCTAACACCCAGTTTAAATGGTTTTATTTTAATAAAATTTTGTATAAGTACTTAATGAAGCATAATGAGTAAATGATAAAAATTTCAAAATGATTGCACTGCTTTAAAGCCCTTTGACCTTTAATAATGTGTGGATGCACCCTGATGTGCTACGCATTCTCCAACGCGCCTAGGCATGCTTCTGATCAAGTGGTCAATGTCCTCCTGTGGTATCTCATTCCAGGCAACCACCAACTCCTCTCGAAGTGCTTCTAGAGTCTGAGGAGGACGTTGCAAATTGAGCAATCTCCTACCCATCATATCCCACACGTGCTCAATTGGGGATAAGTCGGGAGATCTTGGTGGCCATGGTAACAATGTGACATCATTATGTTGAAAGAAGTCTATTGTGACTCTTGCAACATGTGGTCGGGCATTATCTTGTTGGAAAGTTGGATCTGCCAGGGTGTCAAGATAGGGTAAAAGATGGGGTTCTAGAACTTCGTGGATATAACGCTGCGCGTTCATGTTACCTCTGATGAAGATTAAAGGTGACCTGGAACCATAAGCTATAGCACCCCAAACCATAACTCCAACAGTGTGATGAACATGTCTTTCAACAAAAAACTGTGGATTCCTCCTTTCACCACGTCGCCTTCTAACCCTGGCACGACCATCGTGCATGCCTAAACAAAATCGAGACTCGTCACTAAAGACAATACTGTTCCATTCCTGATCCCAGAGTGACCGTTGTCTGCACCACTCAAGGCGATTACGTCGGTGTTCTCGAGTTAAAGGGAGGACCCAGTGTGGCCGGTATGAAAACAAGCCAAAACTTCTCATTCGTCGGTAAATACTTCGCATGCCAATAGGTCTTTCGTGTTCTGCAAACCATTCATTTGCAATGGACCTGGTAGTGGAGAAACGGTCCCTTAAGGCCAATAACCTTAGGCGGCGATCTTCACGGTCTGTTGTTCTACGGCGGCGTCCAGTGCCCCTTGCTCTTTGCGTACGGCCTTCTTGAAGCCGTGCCTGACAACACCTAACCACAGTGTCTACATTTCTTTGCACTCTAACTGCAATTGCCCGAAAAGAAAACCCAGCTTCCTGAAGTCCCACTATACGGCCCCTATCAAACTCACTAAGTTGACGAAATCGTACAGGTCTCCGTACTCTAGGCATCGTAACCGATCGTAAAGGATGTCAAGAACCAAAATCCGCCAACGTTGATTCTTTACTGCGGCTGAAATATTCATTTTTAGAGCGTTAGTGGAATGTCCAACTGATAAGGCTGAAAATTTTTTCACTTGTTATTTACAGTAAGATAAATACATTCACCAACTTTTATTAAAATAAAACCATTTAATCTGGGTGTTCGGATTTATATGTCACTTAGTATATATAGAGAAAATTATCATGCGGAGAAAGGTATATAACAAAAATAGGAAAAATAATGGGCAAAATCCGCAAAAAGTGGATTCGAGCAGAAAATAGGATAGGTAACACGAGCGATACGTATTTCTGCTGGTTGGCTTCATCAGGCCCGAAATGAATGCACATATGCAACTACAAAAGTAGACACACATGCCCACACATCCGGATACGGGTGTAACCTGAGGAAACGAAGATGGAGAGGAAAAAAAGACACACGAAGTCCACAACATCCTCTCCATCTTCATTTCCTCAGGTTACACCCGTATCCGGATGTGTGGGCATGTGTATCTACTTTTGTAGTTGCATATGTGCATTCATTTCGGGCCTGATGAAGCCAACCAGCAGAAATACGTATCGCTCGGGTTACCTATCCTATTTTCTGCTCCTAGGTCCTTTGGGCTTGAAGTACCACAGTAAGTGGCTATAACCGACCGCGTGGTTGTGGTTATTTGTTGCCTTGAAAATTCAAGGTCTTCTAGCCATTTTATACTACAATGTGTAGGTTGGCTCTTGTTGTGGACATGTCTTTTTTTCCTCTCCATCTTCGTTTCCTCAGGTTACACCCGTATCCGGGTGTGTGGGCATGTGTATCTACTTTTGTAGTTGCATAGGTGCATTCATTTCGGGCCTGATGAAGCCCACCAGCAGAAATATGTATCGCTCGGGTTACCTATCCTATTTTCTGCTCGAATCCACTTTTTGCGGATTTTGCCCATTATTTTCCTATTTTTGTTATATATATACATATATATATTCTTGAATGCTGTAAAAATTAGTGACAGCTCTGATAACAATTGGAAACTTGTTGACAATCTGATAGGGATTATAAGGAGACCCTTTGCTGATAAAGCAAGGCTATGTTGAGGGGTTCGCAGACCTTACGCCATGTACAGATATGTAACAACACCGCGAACCGAACCTCGCGACGAACCGCACTGGCTTTAGATTGTAACCACTCTCCACATTTCTTCGCGATTCATATTTTTCAAAGTTCTTTCGAACATGACATATACAATTAAAAATAATAGTTATTAAAGTGAGTGTATCGTCATGATGTGGAGAGTTCTGAATAGTTCCCGACAAGAAGTGAGCTTATTACTAAATGTTATTGTACGAATCACTCTCTTTTGCACAAGTAGCAAATCCGATGTAAGTGAGCTGCTACCCCAGCAAACGATACAGTAATTCGTGGCTGACTTGAGCAAAATAGTACATCCTAAGCACTTCAGTACTTACGAACTGCCTTAGTCTCAATAACACAAAGTGCTTGCCTTGAATCAATCATAACACCAAGGAATTTAGTGACCTGAACCTCGTTCACCCTGGTTCCGTTAATTTTCAGGTCAATATCACAATCTGTCTCTCGCAAACAAAACTGCATCAGTTGCGTCTTCTGTTCATTAAGTACCAGGCCATTCCTTACACAGTACCATTTCATATGATGCAACTGAGAACTCGGTACTCAGCTGATTTGGATCTTTAGTTTTAACCCCTACCGTGGGATCGTCAGCAAATAATGTAAGAAAATGCTGTTCCATGAAAATGGGCGCATCGTTGACAAACAACAAGAACAATAGAGGCCCTAGTATGCTTCCTTGCGGAACACCAGTTAAAACAACCTTGACGCTAGAAGATGATTTACATCTTCCATCATTAATGACATGTCGGAAAGATAACTTTCTATCCAATTTAAAGCGGTTCATCTGACTCCGTAGTTATTAGGCTTTTCGAGTAATTCGAATTCTAATGTCACCGAGTATAGATTGTTTGAGAGACATGAATAAAGTTACAGAAGGAAAATCCTGTTTCTAACTACTCATATTATACTCAGCTCGTGTTTAGGGCCGATTTTCCAATGATGCAGGTGTATGGATGCCCTTAGCTTAAATTACGACTCCAACCGTAATGTTTATAGTACCTAGGAATTTAGAAAATAGAACATCACCGGTCGGCCGTCAAATGACAACCAGGCTATTAACTTGGGACAGAGATCATTGCAGTTTGAATAAATATATCGCTTATTGTTAATTGTTAAAATAATTCCCAGCACCCATTTTTAACCTATATTTGATGAGTGACGATCATGCTGCAAGGCTTTCATTTTACTCTTCGAAAAATATATCGAAGAAATCAAGTGGACTCATAATGAAAACGAATACCCGCCACTAACAATTGCGCTACTGGTTGCCGAAGTCTGCACGGGATTGCGGCGGCACAGCGGCGATATATTGAACACTTTTATAAATTCATAGTGGTATTCCTATCACATCAATCACAGTGAATATAATACAAATATCAGCAAAAATACACTTACCGTTTTGGAAACATCAACCTTCTTTACTTGCAGTTTTTGCAGATGGTTGGGCAGCTGATTTTCACCATCCTTTGTCTGCTTTTCTCGCTTTTCACTTCGATCTGTCATTTTTGGTTTAGCCGGATCTCCGGCTTTGGCAGTCTCACAACGCCTAAGTTTTTCCAACTCAATCTCTCGTGAGATCAGTTGCTTATTGGAATACGATAGGGCCCTTCTTTTATTCTGATTGTCGAAAACAACCAGTTCCTCAATATTTGGTTCTGAAACAATCATCAGTAATAATTAATGTTGAATATTCGGTATGGCGATATGTTAAGGTATGCGTCCACTATCCACGGTTAGCAATGAACGGATATTGGAATTTTCAGGTGTTTTTCAGCATCACAGAATTAGAATATTTCTCGTACAGGTAATTGCCGATGACGTCATACCCATTTCTGATCAACTGAAGCGTTACTTGGTAGCCCCCGACAGCATGAGCTCTATTTCATACTCGTACTAGAACTGTATACCAAGTTTTAGTTGCTAGATGAATCGAACAAGGTATTTACTAACAAGTTAAAAAGCTCCGGGGTGAATACTCTTCATTAGCGAAGCAGCATAAGATATAGAGGGATGTCTTTTAAGTTTTGCATATAGAAACATAGTAGGCCGCGCGGATCGAACGTCAGTACTGAATCTTAACCTCACTCTTTACAAAACTTAAATTCAAAGTTTCGCAACAATGTGTGTGTTACCACTACAGTGAATTTTTAAGTGTCACCAAGTCATTAGAAAAATGGAACTCAACCGAGAACATTTTCGCGCCTTAATTTATTACAACTTTCAGAGACAATTATCGCAACAAGAATGCCTTGCTGAGTTACTGTCTGTTTTCGGCAACGAAGCGCTACATCAGTCGACAATTTCCCGTTGAAATGGAGAATTCAAACGTGGACGGGTGAGTCTTAGCGACGATCCCAGGGTTGGTGCACCAAAAACGGCAGTCACCCAGGAAAACGTCGAAGCTGTGCGCAAACTCATCATTGAAGATAGACATGTGACATATCGCGAGATTGAGGCGTCCTTGAAGATCCCAAAGACCTCAATTCAAAAAATTTTACATGAAGAATTCGGAGTAAGAAAATTAGTTTCTTGTTGGATACCCCCCTTTTGACTGAAGAGCAGAATGCAGTCAGGGTTAATTGTCAAAAAACGCTTGACCGTTTCAATTCCGGAAACTTAAAAAATGTGTACAGCATTGTTAGTGGTAATGAATCATGGACTTACTGTTATGAACCATAAAATAAACAAGTTGGCTGTTTGGGTGTTCCAAGGTGAAGAAAAGCCAACAAAAGTCATCCGTTTTCGAAGTGTTTCGAAAAAGACATTTGTGTCAAAAGCGGGTCATATTGCAACAATTCCGCTTAATGAGCAAAGAACTGTTACTGCGGATTGGTATACCACCATTTGTTTGCCAAAAGTCATCACCGAGCTTCAAAAATCAACCCCGAAAGATGAATCATCCTCCACCAAGACAATGCAAGCTCGCACACAGCCCAAAAAACAAGGCAGTATTTAACGGAAGAAAATGTGGAATTATTGGACCATCCTCCATATAGTTCCGATCTAAGTCCTAATGATTTCTTTACTTTCCCGAAAATTAAAAACAGACTGCATGGTCAAAGGTTCCAGTCACCAGAAGAAGCAGTTGACGCATTCAAAAATGCCGTTTTGGATCTGTCAGGAAACGAGTGGAATAAGTGCCTCGAAAATTGGTTCGAGCGCATGCAGATGTGTATTAATCTTCGTGGAGAATACTTCGAAAAACTATAAAGTCATTTAAAACTACCTACCGTGTTGTTTTATTTCCATATGCAAAACTTAAAAGACATCCCTCGTATACCATCGAGAGAGAGGAGTTCTGATTTAGATAAATAATAGTTTAAGGGTGGATTTCACCAGGATTGTCAAATCAACAGTGCGTTATTCTCCACCTATAGGGTAACAGTCGGTCAATTACAGCGAATGAGCTTAGCTTAGCTATAGGCAAGTATAAAGTAGAACTATAAGTTGTAACAACCTAAAGCAATAGCTTTCCCTTTCACCTTCAAAATAAACAGGACCTTGACCTTGTGAAGGTCAAAAGCAAAGACACCGAAACAATCGTGACATTTCTCCTTGACAAGCAAACTGTCCCATTGAATTCTCCGAATTCTTGAACAATTCGTGCCAGATCTAAAAATTACTTGCGGTTAAATTGACCTTGTAAGGATCCTGGTCGCCAGCAATACGAGCCCTCCAAATATCTCCCTAGAAGATGTTTTAGGGCCAATTTCACCAACAACAGTCCGTTATTCTCAACCTATACGGTAACACACCGTCAGATACAGCGAATGAGCTTCAAGTTCCAATCATCAAATTTTAGCAACCAACAGCTATGAAATGTTGAAAACAAAATACTGTCAAAGTATGAGATGACAGTTTGTCATTGAAACATCACCAGCTTATTGAATATTAACAAAGTACATATAATTACAAATTCTTTGGTCGTATTAAATTTATTCTTTATCGACTGTAAATTCAAATGGTTACCAAATTTTGCTCCGTAAAATAGATTGAAATTTGTTCTTATCATTTTGCTGTGAATAAGAAGCCTTTTGTGAATCACCGTTATCATAGAATATAATGGGTGATTTTTTTGTGAGTATCTTTTTGGCAACACTGTTTTTGACAGATGACGCGTGAATCGTGTCTTGTGTCATTGTCAAACTTGTTCAGTTTGGTCTATAATTTAACCATGAATCGACTTAAGAACGAACAACGCTTGCAAATTATTGAATTTTACCATCAAAATTCATGCTCGGTTAAGAGAGTGCATCGAGCACTGCTTCCAATTTATGGGCAATTTGGTCGGCCTACTGAGTGAGCTATTCGGAAGCTTGTGACTAAATTTCGAACCCAGTTTACATTATTGGACATTAAACCACCAACACGCAGACGTAGAGTGAGGACTGAAGAAAATATTGCGGCTGTATCCGCCAGTGTTAGTGATGACCGTGAAATGTCGATTCGCCGCCGTTTGCAGCAATTTTTCCTCTGTTACTCCACTACGTGGACAATTTTGCGACAGGATTTGGGTGTAAAACCTTATAAGATACAGTTGGTGCAAGAATTGAAGCCACACGACCTCCCACAACGTTTCCTATTTGGTGAATGGGCGGTGGCATAGTTGCAGAAAGATCCACATTTTATCGAAAAATTGTGTTCAGGGACGAAGCTCATTTCTGGTTGAATGGGTACGTTAACAAGCAAAATTGCCGCATCTGGAGTGAAGACCAGCCAGAAGCATTGCAAGAGCTAACAATGCATCCCGGAAAAATCACTGTTTGGTGTGGATTATGGGCCGGTGGCATCATCGGGCCGTACCTCTTCAAAGACGACAATGGCCGGAACGTAACTGTGAATGGCGAGCGCTACCGTGCGATGATAACAAACTTTTTTTTGCCCAAAATGGAAGAGCTGGACTTGGCTGACATGTGGTTTCAACAAGACGGTGCCACATGCCTCACCGCACACGAAACAATGGCCCTATTGAGAGGCGAGTTCGGTGAACAGTTTATCTCACGTTTGGGGCCCGTCAATTGGCCGCCTAGATCGTGTGATTTAACGCCGTTGGACAATTTCTTGTGGGGTCATGTTAAGGCTACTGTCTACAGAGATAAACCAGCAACGATTGACGCACTGGAAGCCAATATTGAAGCATTTACTCGTGAGATAACGGCCGATATGTTGGAGAGAGTGTGCCAAAATTGGACTTTGCGCATGGGCCATCTAAAGCGGAGCCGCAGCCAACATTTACATGAAATAATCTTTAAACATTAAATTATATCGACCGTTATATCGACTCAAATAAAGATTTAATCGTTTTTTCAAATTTTTTGTGTTTTTTTTTTTAAATCAAATCCTATACCTCTTAAAAAATCACCCGTTATTATATGAATATTATAAACAGTAATTCGCGTGTATTAGACTCGTTAGTACATACGCATGTATAAGAAATGAACAAGGTGAGAATGCACTACCTTGAAAAAGTATCTGCCTCCGATGTGCTGTGCCGAGTGCCCGAACCAACGAAGAGTAATAGAAGAATTTATCAATCATGTTGATCCTAATAATGATAATGGACAACTGTTGTCAAATTTTTGCATTGTCGTCGGTCCTTGATACGTTCGCAAGTTTCAGATTAATCAAACTTCTGGTAATTGGTGAAAATTATGCTCAAAGATTCCGTTACAAATGTGTTGATCCGTTGGGAAGCTACGATACCATAAACAGGCGCACAGATACATAGATTACGCATGTTAAATTTTTGTGTCGGAGATGATAAATGATTGCAAATGATCACCGCATCGGCAAGATCATTGCCGGAAAGACAATGGACGCATAACCATAGCTTTAGCATGTACCAACGAAAATATTATAGAGCATTTACAAAAATCGACAAAATTATGGTCATAGTTATGACAATTTTCAGGAAGAGCTCAAATTTGAAAATAGTTTCTAATGTTTCACCTAGATTGTACACGTAGACCCCATCTTGCGTCCTCTCTTGCACGTAATTGAGGTTATAGTCAATCATCACATTGACCACCTTCAGCATACTCTCTTTCTCGTCTTTGGTGTACAAATGGAGACTGACTGGTCTGAACGGTGGCAGGATGATGATGGACAGAAGAGGAAGAATGTCCAGGACCAAACTGATTCGGTTACAGTAGACCCTTGCAGACGGCTGCATACCGCGAAGTACTTCCGATATTAGTGAACTTCTGAGCGTCTCTTTTTGTTTTGCCTGAAACAATAGAAATATTGCCGAGAAACCAATACAGGGTGGCCCATCCATGTGTGGACGGAATATTACTCATAAACAAATACATTTTGGGAAAATCTATTTATGGAATGATATACAGGGTGTCCCAGAAGTCGACGTCAAGCCGAAACCGGGTGATAGGCAAAGTCATAACAGCTATCAGAAAAATATTTAAAAAAATTTTATGTATGTGTTTTGAAAATTATAGGTCTTTGAAAAAATATAGAAAATTCACACCCTACGGCAGTCTGTCAACTCCTGTTACTACAAATATAAACTTTTTTTGGATTTTATTTTTACAATGTAATGATGAATAATGCATCTTCAAACTGGTATCTCAACCTTACTGCCAACTTTTCTCGTTCAGGAAAAATTGCCACTTATTTCCCAACCAAGTATTCCAAAGTAAAACTTTGCTCAACTTTAACTGGCTGTACTGGAAAAAAATGTACTACGAGAGTTTGGCAAGTAACCTTAAAAGTTGGCGCATTTAATAAGGATTCCAAAATGGTATAACACTTAGAAGATTACTCGTTAACTTATGCACAATTTTTATTTGAAGAAAAACTGATGAAAATTTTTCAAAATTTCCTAATTAAACAGCGATTATGAAAACGCACAAGGACCCTTAAGGATAACTGTTTGCACAACAGTTGGCGTCAAAATGCTGCTGATGATGATTTACCTTTACAGTAAATGCTCAAACTGTTTTCCTTCAGCCGCAATACACGCTCGACATCTTCTTAAAGAAGATCGGGTTATTAAACGAGCGAATCCACGGTTCTTAACAAACTCAGCTGCTTCCAATAGTCTTTGCCGTAGCTCAGCTACATTTTGAATCGGCTTGAAATACACTTTTTCTTTTACAGTTCCCCAGTAAAAAAAATCTAACGGATTCAAATCTGGTGACCGGGCTGGCCACGGTATTGTACCATACCGCCCTATCCATCTACCTGGAAAGTTTTGATCGAGGTACTCTCTCACTGAGAGTGCATAGTGCGCTGGGCAGCCATCATGCTGAAACAACATGTCCCTGTAAATACTCAGTGGCACGTCCACCAATAAATTTTGTACATGATTTTTCAAAAAATCCAAATAAACTTCAGCAGTCAAAGTCTCTGGGAACTCAAACGGACGGATTATTTTACCATTTAAAATTCCTGTCCAATGGTTTATCTTGAAGCGATATTGAGATTTATCTTCTCTCATCAAATGTGGGTTTGCTACGTGCCACTCGTGTAAGTTATGCAGGTTCATGTACCCATCTTTCTTAAATGTGGTCTCATCCGACCATAAAATTTTTTCAAAGAACTGTGGATCTTTCCTGTGTCTTTCATTGTGCGACAAAAAGCAACTCGGGGCTCATAATCCCGGGGCAGGAGAGGTTGAACACGCTGTATATGGTATGGATGATGCACATCACTTACTTGCTATTGCACACTTTGATACCGATCAGTACTCCTTCGTTTACTGCGCATCTTTACATGTTCGTGCTTGTTGATTTCGTACTGTTACTAACTTTGGATTCGTGAACTGGACTGTTGATCGTTTGTGATTTGGATGTGGACTGTTTAATTGCTCTTCAAAACAACATTTGCTTTGCTTAGACTATCTTTGATAGTGTGATTGTGCAGTGCCGCTATGTCCGTGAACACCGTACAAGAATATGCTAACATGCACCTCATTTATGGGGAATACAGATGCAACGCTAGTGCTGCAGCGAGACTTTACTGTGAGAGGTACCCGAATGCAGCTCGTCATCCAGATCATCGAGTGTTCACAAATGTGCACCGCTTACTGTTCTCAGAGGGCCAGCTACCAAACCAATCACACGGTGAGGGAAGATCTTTCCTTCCTTACGAAGACGTGGTGCTAGGAGCTGTCGAAGAAGACCCGTGTACTTCAGTGCGTGCAATAGAACTAAAAACAGGTGTGCCCAAAAGTACAGCCCACAGAATCTTGCAAAAAACGTGCTCCATCCATACCACGTACAACGTGTTCAAGCTCTTCTGCCCCGGAATTATGAGCCCCGAGTTGCTTTTTGTCGCACAATGTTAGAAAGACACAGGGAAGATCCACGGTTCTTTGAAAAAAATTTATGGTCAGATGAGACCACATTTAAGAAAGATGGGTACATGAACCTGCATAACTTACACGAGTGGCACGAAGCAAACCCACATTTGATGAGAGAAGATAAATCTCAATATCGCTTCAAGATAAACCATTGGACAGGAATTTTAAATGGTAAAATAATCGGTCCGTTTGAGTTCCCAGAAACTTTGACTGCTGAGGTTTATTTAGGTTTTTTGCAAAATCATTTAGAAAATTTATTGGAGGACGTGCCACTGAGTATTTACAGGGACATGTGGTTTCAGCATGATGGCTACCCAGCGCACTATGCACTCTCAGTGAGAGAGTATCTCGATCAAAACTTTCCAGGTAGATGGATAGGGCGGTCTGGTACAATACCGTGGCCAGCCCGGTCACCAGATTTGAATCCGTTAGATTTTTTTTACTGGGGAACTGTAAAAGAAAAAGTGTATCTCAAGCCGATTCAAAATGTAGCTGAGCTACGGCAAAGACGATTGGAAGCAGCTGAGTTTGTTAATAACCGTGGATTCGCTCGTTTAATAACCCGATCTTTTTTAAGAAGATGTCGAGCGTGTATTGCGGCTGAAGGAAAACAGTTTGAGCATTTGCTGTAAAGGTAAATCATCATCAGCAGCATTTTGACGCCCACTGTTGTGCAAACAGTTATCCTTAAGGGTCCTTGTGCGTTATCATAATCGCTGTTTAATTAGGAAATTTTGAAAAATTCAGTTTTTCTTCAAATAAAAATTGTGCATAAGTTAACGAGTAATCTTCTAAGTGTTATACCATTTTGGAATCATTATTAAATGCTCCAACTTTTAAGGTTACTTGCCAAACTCTCGTAGTACATTTTTTTCCAGTACAGCCAGTTAAAGTTGAGCAAAGTTTTACTTTGGAATACTTGGTTGGGAAATAAGTGGCAATTTTTCCTGAACGAGAAAAGTTGGCAGTAAGGTTGAGACACCAGTTTGAAGATGCATTATTCATCATTACATTGTAAAAATAAAATCCAAAAAAGTTAATATTTGTAGTAACAGGAGTTGACAGTCTGCCGTAGGGTGTGAAATTTCTATATTTTTTTCAAAGACCTATAATTTTCAAAACACATACATAAAATTTTTTTAAATATTTTTCTGATAGCTGTTATGACTTTGCCTATCACCCGGTTTCGGCTTGACGTCGACTTCTGGGACACCCTGTATATATGACATTTGAGGGCATATTTCTAAAATATTGGCCATTATACCGGGTGTCCCTAAATGGTTAATATGGTGTTCGTTTTAGGCGAAGCACAAAGAAATAGCTTCCTAGCATCTCGCATTTATAAGCAATATGCGACATCCAAGGCCGGAAACATTTTCCACACTACGCTTTGAATCAAGTGGAGCAGTGGAATATAGTAAAAAAATCTATAAATAATAAAAGTGTCACGAATGAGGCGAATGAGTTGGAGGTTCTATTAAAGTTGCAGGAAAATCCCCATTTAAGTGCACGGCAAATTGGAGCAGAAACTGATATATGCAGAACTTCTGTCCAAAGGATTATTCACAAGCATAGGTACTATCCATATCAACTATACTTGAAGTTTAGTAGAATAATGTTAAATAAAGTGAGTGAAGACACTACTTTCCTGGATAAGGTTCTTTTTAGCGATGAGGCAACTTTTAACAGGTGTTGTCAACAGGCATAACATGCAGTATTACGCGACGGAAAGCCCTTACTGGGTTAGGCACCCCGGAAAATATGAAGGAAATGATTACGGATGCTTTTCTGAACATAAGGGAATGCATGCTGAGGGATGTGCAACGGTCATTTATCCACAGACTACGGCTGTGTATTCAACATGGTGGAGATATTTTCGAGCAGTTTTTGTAGATTAAGTCTTGAGTAGTGATAGTTGTTTATGTTGTTTTCTCTATTACGCTTGAAGCTGATTTATACTGTTCTGATTGTTATTAGTTTTTTTTAACGTCAAATCTGTACTCTTAGTGACAATATCTAACTAGGCCACTGTTTTTTTTTGTTTCCATGGATGATGTAACTTTTTTCCTTAATTTTGGTGTGTTGTTCTATTAAAAGGTTAATAACTCAAAATCTAATAATATTGTCTGGATCAAACCTTATACAAAAAAAATTATAAAAAATTGAATCCAGACTTGCACAAATTTGAGAAAATAACAATTCGCGTTCTTGACCACCCTGTATGAGTAAAAATGAAAATTCGAAAAAGTAACAGATAAGATAAAAGCTGAGGTGTGTTAAGTTTTTTTTATACAAAATTCAGCACTCCTAATTTCAAAATGGCGGATTGAGGGGTTGCCGAAGTGGACGGTTTTTCTGGACAAAACACCTTACATCTCAGCAGCTTATTACCAAAACCCCATAGTATATTATATCAGTCTTCTTCTTTTGAATCGGTTTATCCAAATATGCAATATAATTTGAGGCATTCCATTTAAAAAATCGCAACTTTGATATGTAGGTCGAAATTGTGGCACCCTGTATAATTGCCAATATTTTAGAAACGTGCTCTCAACTATCATGAATAACATGCCATAAATAGATTTTCCCAAAATGTATTTGTTTATGAGTAATATTCCGTCCACACATGGATGGGACACCCTGTATATCGCACTCCATGGTATTTTACTTGACGTTCTAATGGAGTATTATTTACCGAGACAGAGTTGCATTTTTATACCTGAAACAGATTTGCGATGCAGTAAATCGTTACTTTATCGCTTGTGTAATTAAAAAAATGGCGTCTAGTAGATCGACTCTACACTTCCTAACCAACGACGTCATCAGTTCATAAAGGATCAAGTCAGTCAAACAGTGCAATACATTTCTCTATCATTCCAAGTTTTGAAATTGAAATTGAAATTCTTTATTC